GGCCCGCCGGGGTCCTGGTCCTCCGCCAGCCGGGGGGCTGAGGGAAAAGCGGCTGAAGAGCCCGGTTGCCGGCGAGGGCTCTCCTCCCACCCCCACCTCCCCAAGGGCGTGCTGTTTAGCTGTGAAACGCCACACTGTAGGGTGTTGTCGGTACCGGAAGCTGGCCAGCGATCGGGGGAATGTGGAGCATTTATTATATATGCTTTGGTATATAGAAACAGCGTCTGAGTCGGGAAGCATGAACCCCAGGTAACACAGGGAGTATTTAGACGTGGTGAACATCATACATGCTTCTCTTCTGGTGTGCTTGTTCATAGGCACCTGTCTTTGGCGGCAGAGAGAGAAACAGGCCACTGGCCTGGATGGGATGTGGGCTAACCCTGCGTAGTCACATGTGGTCAGGTGTGCCTGGTGTCCGCTGATTGTTCGGTGTGGGTATTTTAATTTAAATTTGGAGTGGTTGCTACCAGAGAAAACTTTACTTCTGTCATAGATACAAACTATTTGCTAATCAATATTTACTTACTCTGTATGAGAAGCTGTATCCTTTAGCTTCTCCCAGTAAACACTGATAGAGGTATTCTTTCCTAAGTACATCTGTCAAGTTGCAGAAACAGCACATGTTAACTGTAACAGTCAATGTTCAATTTTAGGTATTAATCACAGGCTCATATGTATTTTTTTTGATATGGCTGAGGTTATTCACAGAGTCTTGTGGAAGTTCAAATATGAACTTCAGAGATCGGGATATTTTTATAGTGTTTCTGAAGAAAAGGCTCATCAGCAAGCTGTGTTATCACCATAACTTTTTTTAAAGCATAGGCTAAGGGGTTTGATGTACAGGCTAGTGTACCCACATTCGTATGGATTAGCATAGTAGATTATTAATGAAGCTATCTGTGCATTTAGGAATGGAAATGATGCTAAGCTATAAGTGAAAGCGAGGGAGGGAGCTTGTTGGTAAATGTATCTGCAGTTAGGAGACTGGTTGTTTTGTCTCACTTGTGTACATGAGAAAGGGCTCTAATAACTGCAGCTGGCTTGTGATTGCTATTAAAAAAATGAGGAAAATTTGGAGAGGAGGAAAAATTTGAGGGCGGGAAGAGTATATACTACTCAAGTTTGATATGATTTAAGTATTGGGGAAAGAACATGACAGGATGCGTCTCAAGGAAAACATTCCCCATGAAATCAGTCATTTATTCCATTAATTCAGTTGCTGTATGCCACAAGTCAAAACCATGGTGATAATTTGTTACTGCTCTGCCCAGAACCCATTTTCCTCTCACTTTTTGACTTAGCTTGACAATCCTGTCTTCTCTCCAAGCCTTGTGCTACCAGATCTGTGTGTTACTTGGATTTTGTTGTACAATAACATTTTCCTGTTTCCCTCTGTGCTCTCTAGGACTGACCAATTTCTTGTCTAAGCTTTCCTTTCTTTTCTGACTCTTCTCAGTCCCTCTTACCTGGAGAATTCTCTTGAGTTTCCACTATACTGTCACTAGAGGAGGCAGATTTCCAGCACCTAGCCCAACAGAGTGGTCTGCTCAAACTCTTGATCTTACCGCAGGTTCCTGGCCCTGCACTTAGACGCTCAGCATTTCTCCTCTTCTGTGATCCAGATGTCTGATTTCCCGCTTCAAAACAAACCCACTTCTAACAGTTTAATTCTCAGACTCTTCATTACTTCCGCAGGAAAAAAAAAACAAACCAAACACTGTCCTGTGCAGCTTCCATCCTTCCCAGCAGAGCTTTTCTCTCCTGTCCGTTTCCCAGCTCCTCTCAGAGCCTCAGCTGTCTTGTCTTTGCAGTGTGGAGATCAAAGAGGGTGGCTGTTGAATAACAGTTGCTGTTGATTCTTATGGGCTTCTTTCCTTCTTTTGAATCACCACGCTAGCATGTAGATCAGCAGGACTTTCTGCACTTGTATGTATCGTAGTGCAGAACTTCGTGCGATAGGGGCTTCATAAGTCACAAACAAAAACTTCTAGACCAGCGCTGTGAACAAGTTAGTTACTCTTCCATCAAGCACAGAAAGTTCTGCCTCAGGGTGGATGCTGTGTCACAGTGATTTAAATTGAGACTTCTTGTTACATATTTTCTTCCCTTTACAGGTATCCTCTGACAAATTACACATTTGGTACAAAGGAACCCCTGTATGAGAAGGACAGTTCTGTGGCAGCTCGATTTCAGCGCATGAGGGAAGAGTTTGACAAGATTGGCATGAGGCGGACTGTGGAAGGGGTTCTGATTGTACATGAGCACAGGCTGCCCCACGTGCTGTTACTGCAGCTGGGTACAACATTTTTCAAGCTGTAAGTGTCTGTTTCTTGAATGTAACTTTTAGTTTAACTTCATTGTCACAGACCACTAAATATGTGGGCTAGAGGTTAAAGTGTGGCTAATGGATAGGTGTTTTGGATGTGATTCATTTCTTGCAAAGACTTAGTCTGGGAAAGCTTTTTTGAATGGTGGTGTTTTCATCTAAAATGTATTTGTCTGACTCTGCTCATGAGTGGGGTGACAGTTTTGAACCGACTGGAAATCTTAGTTACAGTGCAGCACTATGGTGAAATCCTGTGTAAAACTCATTATCAGTAGTTAGTGTGTTGTTCTTACATTGTGAAAGCTGTTATGCTCAAATATCCTTATGCTATGGCCACAAAAATGGTACAGTGGAGCTCAAGGAATAAACCCCAGTAAATGCACAATGATATCTGTTCACAAACTACTGGGTGAACTGGGGACAGCAAGAAAGGTAGGCATCTGAATTTGAGAACTGCTTCAGTTCATCTCATAGTTATCACTGCTGGAGTGAAATTTCAGTGTTTGGGTCCTATGATCGTAGTGATTGGTGGTGGTGTTTGTTTTCTTTTTTAAACTGGATGGGCTTGACTTCGTCTCAAGTTATCCTGCTTGTGTTCTTGCTCTTATGTTTTTAACCTTTATGTTGGTTATTCTCAATTTTGTGTGTGTGAAATCTAATTCTATATCCAGATTCTTTTTTGACATCTTGATTTGGGGGATGTTTGTGGACAAAAATAGGCTAGACTCTAAAAGTTCTGTGAAACTCTGTAATGATGAAAATGTGGTTTTAGGTTTTTTCATTAACCTTGCATCAAATGCAGGATGGTTCCTCACATGAGTTTTATTTTCTGCTTCCTGTGTGCTTCAGTTAGTGCTGGTTTTGAGATAAGAACAAATATGGTTGGTATTTACAACTCTTTCTTCAACTTCTGGTGCTTTTATATTACTGCTAAAACTTTACCTTTTAAGTGTCCCAGTTATTATCATGTATATTGTTATACTT